TGCTGATCATAAGGATCATTATGAAATTATTAATAATAGATAAGTTTGCAGAATTTTTTCTTGCACCTTTTCTAAATATAATAAAGAAACAAAATTTCATCAGAAAACTTGATTAGATACTATAATTACCCAGATGATGGAGCTCTTGGCTATTCCATACATTTAATTGTTATATATGTAAAGTTGTTTATTCACAAAGAGACATTTTCTAAACCACTGCCTATGAGAGATTTCCCTGTTTTAATATTTTCACATTATGTTCCATATATGTATTTTATGACATTTAAATTTGTTTTGTATGTGCTGATATCGTTTTATTATGTAATTTAATTGTTTATTTATTTGTATATTATCCTTTTGTTAACAATAAAGAAAAAGCTTGCTACAGCTGCAAGTAAATCTGGGTAACCAAATATACCCTTCCTTTAATTTTTATCGTTTTCCTAGAAGCTACAAACGCTTTCTGTCTGTGAGTAAATCCTTTCCATCCGGTACAATGTAGCTACTTATAAATTATCAGTGGTGGCTTTTTATGCTATATGATCTAAATGCATTTATTACAATAATTCACAGGACAAAAATCATCGACTCCACACACAGTTTCTTTCCCATTTTATTGTGATCCATAGGAACTTAACGTAATTTCATTAAGGCTTAATATGCCTTGAGACAGATTACAAACTGCTACTCAATCCTTAAGCATTATATGAACTGGAGGATGTCAATCAAACAACAACTGATTATGCAAATTATAAACATGTAACATATTTCACATATTTTATTTGGCATAGTGAATAAATCATCATATGATGGCTACATTACAAAACAATGTACATATTGTTAATGTGTGCCTCATACTGTATAAAACTCATACTGGCAATCTAAAATCTAAGAAATACTGTCCTTTATAAAACAGCAGCACTGCTCACACTGAGCACCTATTCTTAAAACAAAACCCCAAAAAATGACATTTTGACGACGGTGAAATTTACACTAGCTTTTTTTTAGCTCAGTTTGCAGTCATTTGCTGATGATAGGTGGGTTCTTATCATTTACCCAGGAGCTTATTTCTAATCACAGCTCTGAATCTGTGACGTACTTACAATATAAAAATAGTTCCACTCTATTAACAACAAAATCCTCTCATATAGATTTTTTTTTGTGAGTGTGAAGTTTGCGAAGGCAACCAAGAAAATAAAATATGTAATATATGAAAATATGAAATTCACCCCCACCCTCCAGAAATCTATCTTTTCTGTGGAATATTATTTACAGATACACCTGTACAACAGTGGCTGCACCAAATAATGACTTAGTATAGCCTAAATAAATGCCTACATTCTCATGTTTCCTTCAGTACAAATACTAAATCAATACAATAGTGGGCTGGGTCTGTGCATGCTGTCTTTTGCACCATACTGTGTTGTAAAGTGCCTTCAAGACAAAGATTAGTCCAAGTCTCAGTGATGCTCGACTGAGCTGGCTTTATCAGAGTCTTCTAGTCATCCAGAGCTCCTCCTCTTGTCCTTCATTATCCTCACATCTTCAACCTCAACTTCAGCTTCTTCACCTTTCTCCTAGAGACAGCTCACACTGCCTTAGATGGATGCTATAAATCTGGAACTTTCACTGTGAAGAGAACAACAACAATTAAAACACATGAGGTACATATTAACACCTTTAAGATGTGCATACAGGCTGATACATTAACAGCTACAGCAACAGTAATAACGTGGTCCTCTGCAACCTTATTATAATGGTAATAGGAAACTACACACAAGTAAAAATGTTGCACCACAGAATAATGCAGACACACCTTTGGCCAGTTAGTAACACAAAGAGAATCATTTATGTATATTGTTTTTCACCAACTGCCTAAAGCTCACACAACAGACCGCTAACATTGTTACTGTTAAATCTGTCTCTAAGGGACATCAGCTTCAGTTTCTCCCTCTCTTTTTTTGTGACTGTCTGCTGATGCGATGGAGTAAAGCAGAACCTCCACCTGCAATTCATCCCCATACTCAAGCCTCTTCATAGACTCTGCTCACAGTTAGTGCCAGACTGTTAGTATTTTGATTAATTCAAATCTCTGTTTCCTCTCACAGCTTTGCTAGCCCTGACTCTTGCCTCTGCTCCATCCACTCAGCTAGGATAATTTACAACCCTGCCTACCATCTTCCCCTCTTCGGTCACCTGCTCATTCAGTTTGGATTTCTTTGGACTCTGGATGTGCACTCTTTGCCCCACTCAGCCCCGAACCATCTGCTTCAGCTCCACTTTCCCCTCACCCATCCTCAGACTTGGCTTTTGCAATAAATACCCTTATACCTCACTACTGCCTCCCCTTCTGTGTCTTCACCTGGGTTCACTAGATTACCTCGACATAACAGTTTCACAGAAGTCACATTGACAAGGCTGCCTGCTGATGTGTCTGCAGACGTTTTTTGTTTATCGGCTTTGTGACTGCAGGCTTCGGTCCGATAGTGATTATTTCAAAGTGCCAAATAATTGGCCCAATTAATTGAAATACTGATTAATAACTAAGCAAAAATGAATGGACTTGGACTTTAAAACACCAACTCAAATACACACACACACACACACACACACACACACACACGAAATTCAAAAAAGTCTGATATATAGAAAGTACTGACAGTCAGAGGCACGTTCACAGATAAAACCGATGCGGTCGGTGCAGTAGAAATCATTCCAGTTGGCATTATGGATAAGGCCAGCACAGTCCTCGCCTTCTTCGTGGCCATGGGTCCAGTTATCAGGCTGGCCAGGCTTCCACTTCCTGATGGCAACAACATATAAAATATGTATCAAAGTTCGAGCATCATACATGGTGTTTATTAGTTACACCCACAGAAGCTTGTTGTTTGCTAAAAACACATATTTAAATATTTGCTGCAAAACAATTTAGCTGGTTTACTCACTTGAAAACAGGTATAGTTCCATCCACCCATTTCCAGACATTTTCCTCCTCCCTGTCAGTAAGGCCCAGCCAGAAGTAGCCTTTTCCTGCAATTGCATTTCTCACGAATTGCTACGGAGAGAAGAATAAAATATATTTTACAGGATAATTAGTTTAGAAAAAACAAGTCAAACTTATTTTATAAGATTGTTTGTCTAATTCCTTAAAGTCAGTACATGCATTAAAGTTACTATCAGGGCCTAACTTAATTTACCTGTTCCTCATTGTCGTTAATAATGAGCATCAGAGATGAAATGTTAGTACAAAACTGGTTGGACTCGTCAAAGTTGAGTCTCTGAGAACCAGAGGAGAAGTAATAGCAGCTGTCTCCAAACTTTCTGAACTCAGGCTGGCACCCTGAAAGGAATCATTTACATTATATTACAATATGAAAGTCAAAACAGAGTCTATTTTCTACCTCAATGTAACCGTTTAACTCACCAGGTGCTGCTGTGGTTGCCACGGGGAGCTGGACCTGTCGGGACGCGGAGCTATGTGTTTCCTCTGCTAGTTCGGTAGGATGAGTTGGTGTGGGGGGTTGAAGAGCGGGCTGAAGAGGCATTGACATTTCAGGAGGTATAGGTGCAGGTATCCCTGGAAGCCCTGGAGGACCAGGAGGACCGATGGGTCCAACTGGCCCACGAGGCCCCTCCAACCCTATAGGTCCCGTTGCTCCTCTAGGCCCCTGTGGCCCTTGTGGTCCTGGCATTCCTGACTGTCCATCCCTACCAGGAAGTGCCGGAGCCCCAGGGTCACCTTTTTCACCAGGGCTTCCAGGTCGACCTCCAGACCCTCTTGATCCTTTAGCACCTGGAAGACCCCGAGGCCCGGCTGCACCCTTTGGCCCTGTTGCACCTGGTGGTCCAGCGGCACCTTTCTCTCCTTTAGGTCCCACCAACCCTGGCACCCCTTTGTCTCCTTTATCACCCTTTTGTCCTGACTGGCCCACTGGTCCCTGGGGACCCTTGTCACCCCTGGGGCCTCTTGGACCTGGTGGACCTGAAATGTGAAAACAGTAGATGAGTGGACAGTGGACACTGTATGACAGAATATGCTGTTTCGCAGGAAAAACACATCATTTATTTCTTGTACTTGTACTCTCTTGTAATTGTATTTTCAGGTAAATATTATTTTGTACTAGAGCAGTGGTTCCAAACCTGGGAGTCGGGACCACCCCTAGGGGTCGCCAAAGCTTCCCAGGGGGTCACAAAGCCTTTTTGATAGTAAAATATTATTTAACTAATAATTCAAACTTTAATATATATATATATATATTCACAGAGCCTTTACTCACTGCTAAACAGTCTCGTCATGCATTAGAACAATGGCCAAGGCACTTGTACTTGTTATTTTAGTAAAAATGTACTATCCATATACAGAGTAATACCTACAATAATTAAATCACAACTTTAATTTTTATGTGGATGTGTGTTATGTGCATTTTATTTATGGTAGAATTAAAGGTCCAACATTTAGTAGGCTCTATTGGCACAAATGGGATATAAATATTCACAGATGTGTTTTCATTAGTGTATAATCACCTGAATCTAGGAATCATTGGGTTTTTGTTACCTTGGAATGAGTTGTTTTTATACACAGATGCAGGTCATCTTACATAGAGTCCGCCATGTTCAACTACCATGTTTCTACAGTAGCCCAGAAAGGAAATGCCACACTGGCTGTAGAGGGGCGTTTGCATTTTGCATGTTTGTGGCCACTGTAGTTTCTCCTTCACACTTGGAAGGGGATGGTGAAACGAGGAAGTTGTAATCTGCAACTACACCACTAGATGTCACTAAATCCTACACACTGGATCTTTAAATCAAAACCCATAAACCCCTCATGACCTGATTTTTTTTTTTTTTTTACTATTTCCAGGATACACACCAAATCTTCTGTTCTTACCCTGCAGGATGGTGAAGTTAGTGATGAGCTGTGAGTGCTTGCTGTCCACCAGCTTCATCTCCTGCATCACCATAGAAAGGTTGCTGACCTCTTTGTCCAACCTGGTTGTCAGGTCATCTTGCTGGGCGCGCAGCTCTTTGCTCTCGGCCATGGCCTCTGTCACACTACCGTTCAGCCCCAGTAACAGGTCTGAATGTTGCATCACTGTCTCTGCGCAGGTCCTCAGGCCATTCAGGTCGGAGCTGATGGCACCTAGGAGCTGCGTGGCAAAGCTCACGTTACCAGTCACACGGTCCATGTCATTCTCATGTCTGTCTAATCGTGCTTCCATCTCATCAAACTTAGATGAGGTGGCGTTATCGTGGTCTCTCTGGTGGTCCATCAGCTCACGCAGGCTCTGGTCATGCCCCTCAGTGAGAGCTGAGGCGTTCTGGATCTGGCTCACTAGTGTGCTCAGCTGAGCCCCCAAGTCATCCAGAGCTTCTCCGTTGGACCGGGCCAGGGCTGAGTTGTTGGCTGCCAAAACCTGGAGATTCTGCACCTTTTCCTTCAGCCACTCAGTATCAGCCCGGGTCTGCCTGGCTGTCTGCTGCAGACCCTGATAGTCATTCTTCAGTTTCTGCACTGCCTGGCCTGCATCTTCCACCGTCTTCTGCAGCGTGCTGAGCAGATTGCGCTGCTGGGACTGGGTGATGTTTAGTGCGCTGACACTAACCTGGGTCTGGCTCTGCTCTTTGACCTGACCCTGTATCTCTGTCTGGAGCCGTGCAGTGTCTGACTGGAGGTGATCAATCATGCCACTGTAGGAGGCTAAGGTCTGGTTGACCCCACGCAGTGAGGCAGCGTTGCCTTCCAGATAACTCTGCAGGGAGACATGACCGTTTTGCATGTCATCTCCTGTGATACGAAGACCATCCAGCATGTCTCTGTTTCGGGTCGCCCTGATAGCAATGTCATTCAGTTGATTCTGTAATGCCTCCAGATCGGACTTGAAAGTCTTGATTTCACTTGTGGCATTAACTGACTTCTCTCCTGCCTGATTATCTGAAAAAGTGACACAGAAAAAGAACTTTGTTACAGTAATAGAAATGAAAAAGAAAACAACCTTGAGCACAAAGTTAAAATGCCCAGCTATTGCAGAAGTATCTTTATTTGAGATCTAATCTAGTGTTAATAAGACTTACCTAGTTTCTTTAAGTCTGTCTCCACAGCATTGATCTTGCCTCCATAATTCTGCATGCCCTCTGTGACATTGTCCATTCTCTGGACCACTGAGGAAATAGGAAAGAGAATGTGTAGACTGTAAAATAGATAAGTACACTGTATACACTTACAGGGAAAAAGCAATTATTTAAGTTCATTTTTAGTTTATTTCCCTTACTAGTTTGATAAGATAGATAGATACTATACTCCACTACACTTCAGAGGCAATTATTTTTTACTTTTTACTTACAGATTAAGATTTTCCAGAAGAAATCTATGACCAGTTTACAAAATATGATGCACTGTTACAGATTAAAATACCCAACAGTAAATACATCAGTTAAATGTAGCTCCACATCCACAAGCTACAACATCAACATGTTGCTTAATTAATGATGCATTAGAAATAATAATCCATTATATGATATTACTGGCAGGAGCCATGCTGCTGCTTAATGAGTGCTTTTACTTCTGATCACTTAACTAAATTTAGCTGATAATACTTTTAAATGTAGCTGAAGACATTTACCTCTAATGGAGTAAATTTGCACAGCTTTGCTACTTCTACTTTAGTAAATAATCTGAATATAACATGTAAAACTGATTTTGAACAGCAGAGGGTGCTGCTGTATTCATTCCTCTTCTGTGAATTACTGGAAACTCAAGCAGAAATTCTGAACAAAGGATGTTGAACGGGGTGAAGAGTTTCCTATGTTTTTTGTAACCGGGCAACTGTGTAACTGTTGATCAATACAAATCTCAATTTTCAGAGTACATTCACAAATTCCACTTCATGAGTATAAACAATATCAAAACACAACGAATACCACACTCGTACACTCTAATTTTGGTTCCACTTTCTCTCTTCTCCTCACATCTGCAACGAGAGTCAATCTCCTCTCTGCCACAGTTTGTTTTTTTGTCAGTATGTGGGCGTCTAAAAACTGCACTGGAAAACATCCTAAGCTTTCACTGTTATCATTCCAGAAGTGACAAAAACACGAAACAATAACATGGACTTGGGACAAACAAAAACACATATGTCCAGTTTCAAAATTGGTCAGCTGCTGGGAGTATACAGCTTGAGTCTTCTCCCTCTCTTTCTCTCTAAAATGCTGATTTCTTTATCTTTTAGAGTATTGACAGATACTGTATATGCCTTATTTGTTGCCCATATTCAAGATTATCTATATTGCTACAGCACTCTAACCTGGCCTTGGTAATAGTGAAAAAAATGTAATACAAAACAGAAATGCCTGGTGCATTATCTTCAGTGATGTCTAACATACCTTCCTATTCCCCTTGGTTAATCTTTCCATCCTCCCACAGTCCTATGTTAGAAAGGTTTATGAGTTTGGGTTACATAAGGTTTCTAATTTGAGTAAGGCTTATTGACTGCCTATTGTGACCCAAGTTACTGTATGAGCCATACTTAGGCAGTTACCCAACACGAGGCCCAGCAGATTAAGGCTGATCAATGCAGCAGGAGCAGCAGAGACGGCAGGTAACACAAATGATACTTTTAACTTTGAACAAAATGGGTAATTTGGAGAACCAAGACTAAAAAACATCTTGACTAGTGCAGAAAACAGTATTTATGTTTGCTGATAAACTACGGTATATGCCGTTTAAAGGGTGTAAAAGATAAAAACACAATACAAAACCCAGCCTACTCTGGTTTCTTGCAAACTCAAACTATTTTGGACACTTTGTGAGTCAACCTGTGGTTCATGAGACAACAAATTGCTACCAAGCCATAAAATCTCCTCTGGGTTGGTAAGCCCGAGAAGTTGCTGCGTGGTCATCTGGTAGACATTAGAGCCAAACCATGAAAATCAGATGGGCTCCATGCTAACACAGACCTAAAGTTGGAAACTCAAAACAATCCTGACAGCACTTATAAGGCAAGATTTAGATTTAGATCTTAACTTGTCGACCATGTTTTGAATAAAGTCATTCCCCACTGGGTGAAGGCAGTTTTTGTGTGTTGGTTGAGGTACATGGTTCACCAGGTTAGGGTGCCTGTGGAGCAATATTTCATCAATATTTTGCTAAAGAATATTTTGACAGGTTTTCTTTGATGATGAGGCCACAAATGTGTAAGACTGGACAATACACAAAATGCATTCCATATTGATGGCGCCTGCGATAGCTGAAATTCCTTTCTGTTTCTATTTAACATTATTGCCCTAGTTCAAACAGGGAGAAACAGCAAAAAACAAATGGGTTGCAGTAAGGACAAGGCTGCACAACAAATGTGTTTCCAATCTCAAGCTATGGCTAATCTCAGAAAGATATGAATTCAGTGGAGAGTAAACAATGGATTCTGTCAAGGGAGTCTCGTCAAGTGGTAAATTTTAGGATGAACTGTCTGACTTGGTTGGATGTAGTTTTACATTCTGTTGCCAGTGATACAAGCCATTGACTTTCATCACACCTCAGAGAGAAAGACAGGCAGAGACCAACTGTACATGAGGGACAGGGGACAAGGAAGTAAAGGGAATTATGAACAAACATCTGTTTCTCTATGCTGAAAAAAAGAAGATCAAGACTTGATAATGTCACCAGGTGACCCCTTTTAAGTCAAGATTAAATATTTTAATCAAAGGAAACAAGATAAAAAGGCTAATAGTCTATAGCCATGTTGGACAATCTTGAGACTGTACTTAGGCACGTAATGCTTTGAGCTAAAAGCTAATGTCAGCATGCTAAACATGTGACGTGACATTGTTGACAGGATGATGTTTATGTCACAATCTTAGTTTAGCATGTTAGCATACTAAACTATGGTATAAAATATCTATAAACATGCACAATTTAAGACTTTTTGACTTTTTAACCACTGGGTACTAATGCATTGTAAAGAAAGTGGACTTGAAACTCAAGATTGTGGGTTTTCTTATTATTGTTTTATTTGAGCAATTCTGCATTGAATTTAGGACTGAAAATACTTCGATTGGAGGTTTGCAGCAGAGACATGAAAAAACTACAGTATTGTACAAGGAGTAATTTGTGCCTTCAGTTTAGACTTACCTTTGTATCCAAGGACAGCCACTGCTATGGTGAGCAGTGCACAGAGCACATACAGCAGTGCAATAGCCACCCTCAGTGCCCAGTCATTTTTACACTTGGTGCACTCTGTACCCTCTTGAATTCCTGCAACATACAACAGAAATTGTGTGACAAATCCGTGTAAAGTATGCACTGTTGAGAAGCAGTAGTAACTCAAATATTGTGCAACATTAGCAGGGAGTTAGTATAAATACTCCAAAGTCTTTCATTCAAAAATGAAATCACACAGGATGTTTTTTCATTTCATTACTAAGTTTAGTACTGCATGTCGAAAGCGGGACACGCTGTGCCTTTCTTCAGCCAAGTATCAATTGAAAACAGTCGCCCTCATGAATAGGCAAGAAGACTCACTACGAAACTTGAAAACACTGCACATGTGTTAGCCATACGATAGAGAAACCAAACCAAAACAGTACCATTTCACTTCTGCGTCATTCCTGGTTGCCATCCAACCTAAAACCACAGTGCAGTGAAGCTTTTGGTCATTCATGTCCCAGATGTTCCCTAGTGTAACACTACATCCTGAAAACCACCAACACCATGTGATATAATGCTAAACATTGTACTATGGACAGGATGTTTACTTGACTTCATTAGAACTGACCATGTTGCCTCTGGCAAGCAGAGTGAGAGGGCAGCTGGTGTATATTCACAGCAGGCAATAAAGATCTATCTGTAGATGGAGCAAACTTTAAATAAGATTATATAGGAAGACAGAATTTGTGGAAACCTGAGAGACTTTATCAGACAGGAAGGTTATAAAATAAATAGAAACGGTTTAAAATACACTTTTAGTGTCGTAATACCAAACCTGCCTTTAAATTGAATAAGAAACATGAGCAGTCAGACAATCTTACAGGTTAAAAACGAGCAAACAGTTTAGCCAGTTTAGCTACTGCTTTATTTGGAGGTTAAACCAAAAGTGAACACACCCACAATTTTTTAATTGCATAGAAAAACAGTGATTGTGCACAACTATGGCAAATACGGTAGTTAAAATAAAGCTGGTGTTTGTTTTCTCCCTGCTATTCTGGTGGTTTGATTATAACCTGTCTGATCTGCTTGTGTTTCTTTCCCCCTTTTGTCTTTGCTGTCACCACATTCCAAGACCGCAGCAATTTCTTTGGTGAATCATTATTGATATGTCAGTATCATTACTGTCGTCACATTCTGAAGAATAGCTGTCTAACGGCAAAATCCTTACGGGGAACAGAAAACACTTCAGGCCTGACCCAACGCCAGTGGCGAAACATGTAGGCTTCCCGAAGCGAGCTTTCAAACATATCTCTCATGCTCACTTTCCAGCTGGGAAGCATCCATCCGCTGTGAGCACCATCGAGCTCGTGGGTTTTCGTAACCTGTCTTCGTTCCGCGTTCCTCACGCCGCAACACAATCACTGTGTACAATGTGACAGTGTTTTAATCTAAGAACTTAACACATTTAATTTAGATTTAAGTCTGGCAGTTAAAGCCATTCTTCATCCTTTGGTGCATGATTTACATACAGACAAACTGTTTCCTATACAGGGAAAGATACATTATATAAGATATATATACAGGATTAACAGAAACCCAAAAGGTGATGAAATTTTCCAATTGCCTACGGCTATCGGAACGTCAGTAAAGTTGTTAAGCCACCCCCATGGCTAATTAGCGACTTTTTAAATCCTGTCCTTTAAAAGCATACGATTTTGTGTTTGCACAACTTCTACCAATATGCCAGTCAGTTCCCACGGCGGGCTGTGCAAACTTCCCTTTAAGATTCATAATTTAATGGTGCTGCTTTTGATTAATCTGGTCGACATAATCACACAAATGATCAAAAAAAAAAACTCGAATATTCGTAATTTTGTCTATTATGATCGGCCAAGTTTGACAGGGGGTGAGGCATCCCCACGGGGATGAGTGTTCTTCTGGTATGTAATACAGTCACCATAGTGACCTAAAGTGCCCTAGATGTGTACAGTCTTGAATAGAGCTGAAATTGGTTAGCCAGCTCTGTTACAAACTCAAACGAGCACACACAGGCTCTAGCTGCACCAACTCAAAACAAACACCAGATTCGACTGACAGAAATGGTTGTGCGTCAATTCGCGCGTCCATGCGTAGACTGCTTTCGCAAATCTCATTGCCCTCGTTTGTAATCCTTACAGTCCGTAGCTAACGACAGGTGTGCATGTGAGTGCCATTGTGGCCTAGACACGCAAATCCTTCCTTGCCATGTTAGCTCGAGTCGGGAGGTTTATGTACCAACCAGGTAATTATTAAAAGATCTAGACTGGAATATGCCTGAGAGGGAGAGTTTTGACCTGGATGTTAAAGTATTTTGTGATAGTTATTCAGTTTTGACCTGTTGTGTGGTCCTTGGCTCATATGAGCATTTTGAGATTATGGGCTGACGGCGGTGAGGTGTCTAGGTTTGGTGTAGAGAATTATCTGCACTTAGTGGTTGTGTTGCCCGCGGATGGTGGTACTATAAATATACTTATGTTATATATCCACTCTTCTGCTTTGCTTCTTGACCAGATTTTTGCTACTGGTCTAGCTGCTGTTTACATGGGTGAGTTGTCTTTAAAGCAGAATGTGGTCAGGACCAGTGGGGGCTTCTCTGTGGAGGCTCTCCCACACTGGCCTCCCCCAACATGAGGCTCTCAGCAGCAGCATAAGGACAACAGTGGCCTGCATATCCCATGTCTGGATCGCACGGCCTGGGCCCTTTGAGGTTGGTCAGATGTTATGTTTTGCACAGATGTGTGGGTCCAAAGCCGAGAAGGCCAAAACCCCAGTACCCCTACTGGGTGGTCCTGGCCCACCACTTGACTGGGTTAGGTATGGAGCCTCTGTGGCTCACTTTCAGTCCCATCATGGTGTACATGACTTAGCTGTTGAAATTTTGCAGCTTTCCCCAGTGGAAACAGATAGACCCTACCCCAAGAAAGCATGTTTTTGACGTTTTCAAAACGTGTAATTATTTACATAGCTGAAGATGATGTCAGAATTTGAAAGTGAATGCAATGGTCGAACTCAGGAAAGCACATTTTTGGTGCAGAGGGCCATGTTGAAACACTGACTCTGGCAAGCGGTGGAACAACTTTTTCCTAAAGACACTTACATGCTTTGATTATTGATCAGCATGAATGTGGTGAGTACACAACATTTCACCGGTATACGATGATCTCCTGACATTTTCTTTTTATGTTTCGTATCGCTGGTTTTATCCCATTGGTTTTATTGGTTATGAAATAATTGTTGTCTTCAATTACTAATTTAAGTTACTGCATGTCGGAGAAGGCGGGACCACGCTGTGCCTTTCTCAGCAAGTATCAATTGAAACAAGAGGCGCCCTCATCGGAGATAGGCAAGAAGACTTCACCTACGACAAGCTTGAAAAACAGCCTGCACATGTGTGTTAAGCGAGTACAGATAGAGAACAAACGCGCGGAAGACAGTACCATTTTCACTTCTTGCGTCAGTTCCTGGTTGCCATCAAACCTAAACACCACAGTGCAGTTGAAGGCGTTTGGTCAGATCACCCTGTCCCAGATGTTCCTAGGTGTAAACACTACATCTGAACAAAGGCGCGAGAGACGACCATGTGATATAATGCACTAAACATTTTACTATTGGACAGACTGTTTACTTGGACGTGTCATTACGAACGTGCGACCAGTGTTGCCTCTGGGGCAAAGCAGACCGTGGTGAGAGGGCGAGGCTGGGTGTCATATGTCAACAAGGGCAGGGGCAGAAACAGAAATCTATTGCTGCTAGGGCGATGAGCAAAGACTTTTAAAATGAAAGAATTGTGTAGTAGGAAGACAGAATTTGTAGGAAACCTGAGAAGAGCTTATCAAACAGGGGAAGGTTATAAAATACAATTAAAACGGGTGGAGAATACAGCTTTTAGTGTTCGTGAATACCAAACCTGCTTTAAATTGAATAAGAACATGAGCAGTTCCAGACAATCTTACAGGTTAAAAAACGAGCAAAACAGGTTTAGCCAGTTTAGTACTGCTTTATTTGGAGTTAAACAAAAGTGAACAACCCACAATTTTTTAATTGCAATGTAGAAAAACAGTGATTGTGCACAACTATTGGCAAATAACGTAAGTTAAAATTAAAGCTGGTGTTTGTTTTCTCCCGCTATTTCTTGGTGGTTTGATTATAACCTGTCTTGACTGCTTGTGTTTCTCTTCCCCTTTTGTCTTTGCTGGTCACCCAACTTCCAAAGACCGCAGCAATTTCTTTTGGT